ATACAGTGGCGGCTCGAAGTAAATTAAAAATGGTGTTCAATTATGGAATGGAATTATAGAAACGGTGAATAACGAGGAATTGCGGCGTAGGCGAAAATTTTTTGGGGTCCTCGCCCTTTTTTGTCTGCATTTTATATTATTTATTATCCAGAATACAAAAGAGAATTGTTTGAGGAAAAGCTAAAGCTCTTGAATGATGACTCAATAGGTATAATATTGCACTTATTTAACACAATATACAAAACTGCGGTAAGCATAACCTGCGGTATGCACATGATAGAATAGTGTTTTCCAATACCATAGAAGGGCTGCAAAACTTAATGAACAAAATAACGGAAACAAGTAGAAAATATGGACTGGATATAAACACCAGCAAAAACAAGCTAATGATCATCAGCAAGGAAAAAATAACGGGAGCAAATCTGCATGTGAACCAAATGAGAATTGAACGAGTCTCACAATACAACTACTTGGGAACTATAATCTATGAGTCCTCATGACCTCACCCTAGAAACAAAAATAGGGCTCCTTTAATGTCATGTGTACTCAGTGCTTCTGTACTAAGTAGAAACGTGAAGATTGAAGGCGGAAACTCTTTCAAAACTTTAGACTTTTGAGCTATGGTCATACCATGGATCTTGAAGATACCATGGACAGACAAAGTCACCAATAGAGATGATGAACACAACTGCGGATTTGGTCAACATCGTGAAGGGCAATACTTGGGACATATAATGAGAAATCAAAGCAGATACGAGCTACTTCAATGATTTTACACGATAAAAAATATCCTGGCTTGCTAACCTGAGAATATGGTATAGAAAGACCTCAACACAGCTATTTCGTATAGCAACCAACAAAGTCATCATAGCCAGAATGATCGCCAACGTTCGGAACGGACGGAAAGAAGAAATACAAAACTGGTATTATATAAAAAGTTGGATTCAGATATTAGTGATACACAGATGGGGGTCTAGGTACTCGAAAAGCTCTCTTCGGTTTGAATGTTCTTACACAAAGATGCCTAGACGTTAATCAGGAAGTACATGCATGTTTTATCGATTTTGAAAAGGCGCGCGTTTGATAGAGTACGCCATGATAAGCTAAGAGACATTCTCGAAAAAAAGGACATAGATAATAAAGATCTGCGAATAATTCTCAATCTATATTGGAATCACAAAGCTAACATCAAAATAGAAAATGAGATATCACAAGTAATAGAAGTACGTACAGGAGTGCGACAGGGATGCATTTTGTCACCGCTGCTATTTAAAGTTTTTAGTGAAAGCATCTGCCAGGAAACGCTTTTGCAAGCAAACGAACGAGTGGCTGTTGTCTACATTGTGGCAAGCAATCGTAATCAATGGAGAGGTTGTAAATAATATTAGATACGCAGGCGACACTGTACTAGTTGCAAGAACAGTAGAAGAATTACAGCGATTACTTACAAATATAAATATTGCCTGCAACAATTATGGCATATTCTTCTTCTTAAAGTGCCTATCCGTTCCGGTTGTTGGCGATCATCACGGCTATCTTTACTTTGTTTACTGCACCGCGGAACAGTTCAGTGATAGTTGCGTTATACTACTTTCGTAAATTTTGAAGCCAGGAAATGCGTCTTGTTCCCGGTCTTCTCTTACCATTTACCTTCCCTTGGAGAATCAGCTGGAGAAGGCCGTAACGTTCTTGATTTCTCATTACATGTCCTAGATGCCCAACTTTTTAGTTTTGAGGGTCATGAGAATTTCACATTCTTTCCCCATTCTACGCAGGACCTCCACATTAGTAACTCTGTCAACCCAGGATATACGTAAGATGCGCCTATAACACCACATTTCGAAAGCTTCGAGCCGATTCATAGATGCAACAGTCAGTGTCCACGCTTCCATTCCGTACAGCAGAACTGTGAATATGTAGTAGTTCAAAAGGCGGCATTTTGTTTTTAATGATATGTCTTGACTGTTGAAAATGGTTCTCATTCTAACGAATGCTGCTTTTGCTTTTATTATTTGCTGTTTAATTTCTGTTGAGTGGTCCCATTGGCTATTTAAATTGGTGCCTAGATATGTATATTGCTCGACTCTTTCGATATTATGTTGGTTAATTGTAAGTTGAGCGTTTAGTATTGGTTTTTTACTAATTGTCATAAATTTGGTTTTCTTTATGTTAAGAGCTAGTCCATATCTGTTGCTGACTTCTGTTATGCGATTTGTTAATATCTGTAAGTCATTCAGATTATCGGCAAAAGGCAAAAACTATAGTGTCATCTGCATATCTAATGTTATTCAACCATCACCGTTTATTAGTATTCCTTTTTCACAACCGTCTTGTAACATTTTTTTTATTATTAATATATCAAATTATTTTTAATTCCTTTTACCCCCGTGCGATACGCCTATGATTAGGAATCCCCGTGTTTACGATAGGAAAATATTATTGTAGACACCAAGCTGAAATGGAATTCCCTAATTAAGAAAGGTTTTTAATCCTTCCGTCTTAATACTCTGTATGAAAAGAACAAATGCTTTCCGGTATGCAGTTTCTTTTTCATAAATTGGTAATTTTCGCCGAAGGCCCGTATCTTTTGACAATAATATAATCCTAAGGATTTTAATATTCTCAGGTCGAATTGTTAATACCGATTATTTTACCTCAAACTTTCCAATAGTCGTTAAGGCCTTACCTTCTGAGAAATACATACGACTGTCCGATGATTTTAAGTGGGGGATATACCTTCTTCTTCTTTTTTCTTGGATAGTTGGTGAAATTTTTAGGGAACCAACTTACTTCTCGGTGGGCTCTTGTTGAGTGAAGTGATATCTCGTGATGCGCTTTGCTCACGATATTTCTTATCTTATCGTCGCTGTGAATTATTTTCTAAGTGTGTGTACACTTCATATTTGAGTTTTCTTTCCTTAGACTATATTAAATTATATATAGTTCTACACTACCTTTAATGGTTATTAAATTCAGTGTTTAGTACCAGAAAAGTATTAAATTCAGTGACTTAAGCTGCCTTCGTCAAGATCTACTGTAAGTAATCTTTATCTACAATTATCTGGGCGAGTAATATGGTATGGTACCATATCACCTGCCATTATCTGGACGTATCATCTATATCTTCACCTGTAGATTGCCGATTTTTGAATGTAATTGAACCATTCAAGAAATTTCTATAAATATTACCTATGAACATACAAGTCTCAGTTTTTTATTACATAATAGTGCGAGATAGTTAATTGACTTAACCAAGTGCGATTTGGTTTATGTTTTCATTCCTGTAACCTTTTTGTTTTTTTTTTTTGTAAATTTAGAGTTAAGTAATTTTTGCTATCTTTTGTATTTCCTATAATTTTTGTTCATTATCTTTCCTATGATATCTCGAGATACGCCAAACTATATTTGTATATGATTGCCTTATATATCTTGGTAAAGGTATTTTTTTATTACATTATAGCTTAATTTTATACATATATAACACCATTTCATAGTTGTGTATTTTTATTACCTGGGTTGCATTTAGCAGCATCATAATGTTGTGTTTAATATATTGTTATTGTTTTATGCATGTATTTTATTTGTTCCTAACAAGTTCCCTGATAAAATAATAGCTCTGAACAATTACTATCTTTAAATATTACTATGCTTTTGAACTGTAGAAAGATCAGGCTGATTAAGTTTCGTAGGTAAGTAAGTGTAGTACTTAATATATTTATTATTTGTTTATATATTGCGTTGACCAGATTTATTTGATAATTTACTGTTGGTATCTTTCCTTGGGTTTGATCTCTGAACCTAAATATCTTTTCTTATCTCTTTTCTTTTCTAAGGTTTTTTTAATTTTCTCCTTAACCCCAAAAAATTGAGTGGCGCCCTGTTTCTATCTTCTCTTATCTTTGGTAATTTTACCCATCTATCTTTTTGTTTATTTTTGTATCTTTTCTAATATCTCTTATCCTATCTTTACCTATTTCTTCCGTTGGATTCATTCCCGATTCCAAAAGCTAGTTTCGAACCCACGACTCGCTCTCTACCAACCATCTGGCTGCCGTCCGCAGTGTCTCCATTGGTTATCTTTCTAGCACCACCCAAAAAAGATTTCCGAGATTACAGTCTAAAGCTTCCTTAAATACCCATTCAGAATAAATATTGAAAAACAATGGAGACAAAATACAGCCCTGTCGTACTCCACGTTCTATTGCAATTTTATCAGTTAACTGGTCTTCTACTTTTGATTTTGGCCGTTTGATTGTAGTAAATGTTTCTGATGATTCTAAGATCTTTGTTGTCAATTCCAATTTCATGCATTAGAGTCATTAATTTGTCATGTTTTACTCTGTCAAATGCCTTCTGGTAATCTATAAAGCATACGTATATGTCACAATTCACATCTCTGCATCTCTGAAATAGCACCTGTACAGCAAAAAGGGGTGTTCCCAGAGCATCACGAAATCCGAATTGTGTTCTTGTTAGTTGTTCCTCACATTTTGTATATATATTCTTTTGTGAATGACCTTTAGAAATGTTTTAAGTAAATGGCTCATAAGGCTTATAATTCTATAGTCTCCGCACTTTCTCGCATTGGGTTTTTTTTGGAAGATTTATAAAAGTTGACACTAACTTAATTTTTGGAGAATTCACCACTATTCACCAAGATAGTGGTGAAATACCAAGAATGGTATTTTCTCTCCTGCTACTGACAAAGAATGTAGAGCGTAGAATCTTTTTAATTAATTTTAAACCGTTTTAGTGTAGTGTTTTGTACAATTTTATGTTACCATTCATGTTTATCACATTCTACGCTTGCTGGATAGCCCATATTTGACGAAATGCCCCTGAAGATGCTATTTTAAGCGAAAGTACTTGGGCAAGATTTGATTAAACTTGTGCTCGATAATTGCCTTAATTTTCAAAAAAAAAATAAAAAATAAAAAACTGTTCATAATTACTGAAAACAATTATTTTGATCTAAGTCGATTTGAACCAAATTTAGTTAACTAAATATTGTGTAAAATATTGCGATAACTCACCTCGTATCCCATAGTGGGAAAATTTAACTTCTGCGATTGAGGAGTAGCAAACAAAAAATGCCAAACAACAAAAGCGTACGGCAAATACGAACTTAACGAATAATTTTGCAAAGAATAGATCTGCTTGTTTAAAATATCACTAAAAACGAACCAATCCATGGCTTGACTTAGTCCTTGTAACGTAGAATCCTTTAGTTTTAAATGAGAAAAATTCTCAAAAACACCTTGTGCTACTCTGTCGTAATCTCCAAACGAGCAAATGGTTTGTAAAACTTTCGACATCCTGGCTTGAATCATTTGTTTATGGGACGAGGTTGTCTGATGAACTAAAGGATTTACTTTCGGACGAACTATATGGAAGATTTCCTGCCAAACGGTAAACAAACCTGAAAAATCGTTAAAATATTTAAGATGTTTATTAAGAAAACAAATTTTATCTTTTATGCGACACTAAAACACTTGATATTAGTGTCGAAGTTTATACAATAAGATTGAATCACACAAACGAATTTATGTAATAAGATAAAATACTAAATTTACCTTTTTGCATGTCTTTCTCTCCAATATTAACTTTGTAAATATCAGATAGTCCTACAGCCTTATTTTGAGCTTTAAAAAAATGTAACACATTTAAACAAGATCTTATATCGTTATTACTTTTCTCAGCTAAAGCCATCATAGCACCCAAATCGGTTTTTATTTGTTCTCGCCTTGATATCCACATCAACCTCTCAGCTAATCTAGTACTTGAAGTCGATGGAAAATGTACGACGAAGGCAACTTGTCGCAACGGCCTTAATGCAGGAACGTAAACGTCATTACATATACAAATTATAGGCCGTTTAAGAATAAACTCCTTTTGCGCCTTTCCTTTTTTGGCTTTGGTAACAGCGGCGCCATTGATGAATTTTATTAAAAAGTCTATGGAAGTCTGTGGAGCCCCATCAATCTCATCAAAAACAACACAATTAGGTCTTCCTTCTCTATCGACTACAGATTTCATTTGGGTTGCGTTTTCCAGTAAAGTTTTGAAGGCGTCTGTACTGCGGTCATCAGAAGCGTTTATTTCCACCACATTGTAACCTGCGTGTCTAGCAGCAACGTGAGCTAGTGTGGTTTTACCTAAAACAAAATAAATTTTGATTTTTAAATCAGCATTTATGAAAACCTTGAAGTAGAAAGAAAAATGATGCGAGGAAAATGTAGCTGTAGGTTTACCAGTTGTTATCTCAATTAATTTATTTCTTACTTTTACTGTTAGCTCACAATTACTACTTACTCAGTAAATCTAACTATTTATACCTCTTTGTATGATTATTAATAAACCTTAACAATAAACCTTCGACTTGGATGCAATCGAAAGCCTTTGTCAGGTCTATAAAACATAGATATGCTGGTTTATTGTACCCGACTGCCTATTCTGCGATTTGTCTTAGTATAAATACGGCGTCTACACAGGATCTTTCGGATCTGAATCCTTGTTGTTCATCTGATAAAGTTGTTAGTTTATTGATTTTGTTGCTTAGGACTTTTGTGATAAGCGTAAGTGCGATGTTCAGTAGATTTATACCTCTATAATAATTGTTGGGGACTTCTTTATCTCCTTTCTTGAACATTGGTCTCATTATGCTGTTTCTCCATGCGTCTGGTATCTTGAAATGCAATATTAGTTTTTGTATAAGTTTTGTCATCTCTAGTCATAGTATCTCTAGTCATCTTTTGTCATTTCTACTTCCTGAAAGCTGATTTCTATTTTGTGTCTTAATTCAGGTACGTTATTGTGTTGATTACTATTTTCCTTTGCTTTAAAAAGTTCCGTCAGGTATCTTTCCCATTTGTTTGCTAGTTTGCTGTTTCTGTAGAAATACCATATTTGTAGGGGCTTGAAAAATTTAAGGTGGCCTGTCCCCGCTGAACATGTACAAAATCACGAGTAAGGCAGACTTGTGTCAAAGACAGGCATGCACATTAAGGGGTTTTAAAAAAATTTTGAGAAACTGCCGTTCTAAAGAATATATCTAATAACAAAAAATCATTTTACCTAAACCTGGTGGTCCACATAACAAAGCAACTTTATATTTAGGTCTACCATGTTCATCTAATTCGGTGTTTAACTCAAATTTCGAAAATTTAAATTTGCTATTTGGATCAGTGGGCTTGATAGGATGTATCTTAGGTCTCCTGTTAAAAACAGCTTTATCCCAAAGCTTTAACCATTTTAGCATAATTCTGTTGGTACTTTCATCACTTAATAGTTCAACATATCTTCTGGGTCTGTACAAATCTGTCCATAACTGTCTAGTGGGATTGGATGATTCTATTCTATTTACATCAATATCCATTACTTCATCTTCCGTAGTTATTTGTTTAGTTATCTGAAACAAATTAACTTATTAGTTCAAAGTACATAGAAAGGTTTGCAGCAAAATTATTTACCAAATAAGATTAGCTACATTATTACAAGCATAATGGCATGATAAATTACAAAAATAATATCAAAATTTAAAAATGTACATTCATAAAGCAGCTAAGATATGATTAGGAGAAGAGGATATCTCCTGATCATTCTCTTTACCATAATTACTATGAGGGGACTTTTGTCCCCAATCACTTTACATTGGGTGATTTTTAATTGACAAATGTGTGCTAACCATCTTCACTTAATATTGTTCTGAAGCTATTTTCTTGTGGCATTGTAAATTAATTACTATTAAACTGGGAATAAGCCACAATTAAAGATCAAAATATGTTTATTGACGTTTCAATTTCCACTTCGGAAATCATTCTCAAAATACAAACAGTAAATTAAACAAATTTTGTTTTTTGTTACATAGTGAAAAATTCTTCTAATAATTGACAATTCAGACATACATTATGCATTTTAAAGTAGACAACTTTAAAATGATATTGCCAATATTGTTGAGTTGCGCTCCTGGGACGACTTTACTTATAAGATAGTTCATTCGATTACATGAAATCAACTTTAACTTGAGAATATCTGTCAGAAAAAAATCATAGCATGTAATTCGTCTTTAAAAAGACAAACAGATGACATGATGACAGTAAAATTCTCCTGTTAGTGATTCCATAGTAAATTATGAGGGAAAAACCAGGAAAAAAACCTCATAATACTATCCCGACATTGTAAGTATTTGTTCGTGAATTTAGTTTACCTTCAACAAACATCAAAATTCTGATTTTATATGTTACGTTATTTAAAAAACATAAATGATGTATCCTCTATATGTTACTGACTTACTAATACTGGTATTTTCTTATTAATAACTTCCTCTTTCAATATTGGTAACCAGATCCTACTACATTCTGCCGAGGAATTTGCGACACAATTGGCCTCATTTAGCATAATTAGATCCACTTCTTTGATTTTTCTTTTTTTACGGTCCGTTTCTTTTAGGACTACATTTGAATTATTCCATTGAACCCTATGTTCATTATCCCATGCGTGTTTACAGATTTGAGATCTATCAAATTCTCTATTTTTAATATAAGATTGATGTTCACTTATTCTAACATTTAATGGCCTTGATGATTCACCTAAATAAAACTAATCGCATTCACAAAGTATTTTATAAATGCAATTCTTTGTTCTTTCTTGTTCATTGTTAGGTTTGGTTTTGGACAAAATAGATCTCAATGTGTTTGTTGTTTTGAATGTTGTTGAAATGTTGAATTTATTTCCTATCCTTTTAAGTTTTTCTGATAATCCTTTTATGTACGGTATTGTTATTTTCCTCATATTATTCCTTGTGTATGCTGTAGGATCTCATTTTAAGTTGTTCTGTTCTATTCGATCGATTGTTGAAAATTCCTTATTTATAAACGATAAAGGATAATCATTTTTTAATAAAACAGATGTTAACAAATGTTTCTTCTCCAAGAACGAATTTTCGTTAGAACAAGTAATTTTGGCTCTATCGTATAAGGATTTAATTATTCCCTTTTTTACATTAATATTGTGATTTGATTTGAAATTTAAATATCTATTGGTGTGTGTTGGTTTTCTATACACCTGAGTCTCATATCCAGTATCGTTCTTAGAGATTAAAACATCCAGGAAAGGTAGCGTGTTATTATATTCCTTATATCTTCACTTAGGCTCTCATGTTCACATTCAAGTCATTCCAGCGTTAATCAGTGCCATATGTACACTTCTATTAATATATAAATTTTTAATTTATAATATATTATAATAATAAAGTAATGGAAAAACATATAAAAAATGCATACAACTCTAAACAAAAAATGTAAAAGACAAAATATCTCACCAAAACTTGTGCTTCATCCCAAATAACTTTACGCTTTTCACCCAAAATGTCTTTTCCTGAAGATTCCATAACAATTTTTTGTATTTCTTCTTTTTCATATTCCTCAGAATGAAATCTAATATAAATTCTTTCCCCATCATGACAATTAATTCCTACAAATGGATACTGAGGAACTCTGCGACTTATGTTGTATTTGTCTCTATCAGCAGTATTTGTAGAAATCGATTTGCTTTTTGAAAGCATATTGCTCTTTTCAGCATTCAGTTTTCGTAATAGTATTATATGTTCCATTAATTCTCTAAGTTCTTCATCATCAGATTTAGGTTTTTTGGTTGGTTGACTATCAAAATCATCAAAGTCCAGATCCCCTACAACATGATTTATTAGTAACATTTTATAGATTAAAAGCACAGTGCAGCTGAGAAAATGAGTTCAAGAAAATGTAACAAATAAAAATTTTTAATTTTCCTAACTTGATTTTCTGGTTTTTTATATTTATTATTTATATTATATTTATTTTACTTAAATATACATATACATATACGTATACATACTTTTGTACTTGTATTTGCAGTCATTAAGAGTTTCATTAAGGAATATTGTAAACAAGCAGTGTCCAGCAAGTATTGTTTCAATATTGCATTGGTGTAAATGTATCCTGACGACCTTAACTACAATAAATAAACGAAGATTAACTTACCAATATCACCAAATAACTCATCAGCTGTTCTCTTTCTAGTAACAGAATCCTGGGTCAGTTGTTCCAAAGGTGGAAATAAATCAACATTTTCATGACTAGTAGAGGGTTCGGGGGAGAACAGGGATAATGAGGGATTAACAGTAGATTGTGACGGCTGGACATCATTTGCATTAGTGAGTTGAGTATTTATGTGTTGCGATTTTGATGTAGTTGTTGGTAGTTCATCCAGTTCTGAAATTGTTTAAATATGTAACCTACAAATTGATATATTATAATTTATATATTTACCTCTTTCTCGTAAAAGTTCTAGTTCATCTCCGTACATCAATTCAAATTCTTCCTCGGGATCCGGATAATCACTCATTCTGATGTTTTTGTTTTGAACAAATAAAAATAGAAAAACAAATAAAAATACTCTCCCAAATTCCCGGTTAAATTTATAATCACTGTCAATTCTGTCACCTCCCACCACGGAATGCTCTTCTTCTTTTTATTGGCACAGAATTCTAGATGAAAATTTTTACAGAACGACAACCTCGTAATGATTTAGCAACCACAGTATATACCACAAATAGTAGTGTAAATAGAATAGGACAGATGGAGAGAGTGAATTGTATGGGCCCAACCGTTTGTAATGATTACGGCGCCACCAGTCATGTTAGGTGGAGGTATGACATCAAGTTAAGTAAATATACAGGTTGTCTGGTAACTTTACACCAATCAACGTCGAGTATCCAATGGTAGGAATGACGTCACTGAGAATGCTACATTCAAAATCATTCACTTTAAGGCTGTTTTATCGGTATACCAAAACCTAGATACAGTGTTTTCTCTGTTATTTACCGAAAAAATATCTCGAAATTTGGACGAAAGTCAATGAATTAACACCATCTTTTTTCAGCTTTTAGGTTAAATGTTTAATGGTTTAGCTTTTGAGTAGTTTATAATCTTTCATGCGAAAGTGTAAACTACAAAGTCTTTTATTAATACATTAACACAGGGCCACTTATCCTTCCTATGACACTTGCTGATTCATTGCTTTTAAATTTTTACATTTTTTTGGAAATGTAAAAAACATTAAATTCCTTCCAAACTGTTTGAACAAATTTGAATTATTTTTGCAGATTGCTACCCTGCAAATATTTCCACCAGTTATTTAAATCAACATAAAATATTTAAATTAATTTATGTTAAACATTTTTCTACATTAATGCCAATGTTACCTTTACTATATAATATACAGCAGAAATAAAATCGATTAAGTATGTACTTAACGCAACCACATTAATGTATCTTAAAATTTATTTAAAAGTTTTTGGTTTACGTTATATACTAAACAACACTCAATGATATCTATGTACACATTATATCTTAATATATAAACATAAACAAAAACATTAACGATATTTAACAACAAAATACGTTCTCCAAATCACTGATCATATTGTTTCGTAAAATTGACCCCTGGGTGACGTCACGGTGACATATTTCATTCTGTCAATATCATAGGTACCATGCAACCTGTCTTTTACGAACCTTGATATATTCTGTCAAATGTCATTATACAAATGAAATTAGTTTCGGCCCGTCCGCATTTGGCGCTAGAAACTCTCTCCCAAATCTTTCTATAAGACTTGCCTTACTAGAGGGCTATGTACTTTGTTTAATGTTAATGTTATTCATAGAGAAATATTTCTCTATGATGTTAATGTTTATGATAAACTTTTATTAACTAAAAAATCAGTTTCAGAATAAAATATAAAAGGTTAGTTATTCAAATAACGAAAAGCTTAGTTCTAGGATCTTTTAAATAACATCGTAAATAAACTGATAATAATTATTGCGGCACGGTGATAAAATATAGTCACAGAATACACCACGGTGTATTATGTGATTATAATCACATACCACTAATAACTAGGTAGGTAGGAGGTAGGTGATCTGTGATTAGAATGTAATTATTAGGTTTGTTTTAGCAAACAGACAAACTAGTCAGAAACCGTCAGTAAACAGTTGGTCAGCGAGAGAAAATAATACAGTCACCAGTGCTATATCCCCTCTACTCGCACTGGTCCACTATTCGCTGATGGTTTCAAACCATTTGAAACTGATGCTAGAACAAACCTATTGTTAACGTAACGTCGGGTCAGAACTCAAACTCAGAACAAATATTTTGAGTGATATTTTCGGAGTGGCTACAATATAAACATTGTCCATAATTATTCATCTAACAAAAATGCTGAGTCGTTTTACAAACATCAAACAGTACACCACCCATAGCCGTATTATTTAGCAAATTGCGGTATACAAACAACACCAGATGATGAAGATAAAATAATCTGATCGTACAATCTTCTTCTTAAAGTGCCATCTCCGCGACGAAGGTTGGCAATCATCATGGCTATTCTGAAATTCTGACCTTCGAGGTAGCTGCTTTGAACAATTGCCTTGAGCTGCAACCAAACCAGTTTCTCAGTGGTTTGGTTCTTCTGCCGACTCTTTCTTATGCCGACTGTCTCGTTTACCAAAGCTTCTTGTATGATTTCTTCAGAATATGCTTTAAACAATAACGGCGATAGTATGCAACCTTGCCTGACCCCTCTCCTTATCTCCACTTCTTCTGACACCTCTCTTCCAATTTTCACATTTGATCGTTGGCTCTAGTATTATAAATTTGATATCAATGTTACATCTCTCACATCCAGATTGCGACATTAGACTGATCCTTCGATAATTACTACATTCTTTGGCATTTACTTTCTTTGGTAGACAAATAAATGTTGATGTCAGCATATCACGTGGAATGATTCCTGTGGAGTAGATTGTGTGCAGTAGTTGGACTAAAAGATCTACTTATGTTTTTTTCATTAACCAGTTTTAGCAATTCACTTGGTATTTCATCTGGACCAGCAGCTTTATTATTTGTCATGGACTTTACTGCATGCATAACTTCTGTCGGGTCCCTCGTCTTTACTTTGATTATCATCATATATACATATTTCTATATATACATTATATTAAAATGTTTGCTTGTTTGTCCAATAGTATGCTAGAGTTTTTTGTTTTGTTACCCCAGCTAATTCTTTAACTTTCTTATGGAAATTGAAGTTATCATATTTGTTTTGTAAATCTTCAACTTCTTGGCATTTTCCAGCGAAATAAGTCTCTTTAGCTTTTCATTATTTTCCTTCTTATTTGATTATGCAGCTGTTGATACTGAGTTATGTTGACATTCTTTTGCCTTCTTCTGTCCTCCATCATTTCCAAGATTTCTTCGGTCATCCAATCTCCTTTTTTGCACCTGGTTGTTGTGAGTTCTCTGTTGTTCCACTGTTGATAATTTCCACTGTTGTTCTACATCACCATCAATTGATTCCGGTGTGGATTCTAGGTTTGCATTAATTTCTTGTTTCAGTTTGTCTTTGACGTCTTCTGATTTTAATTTTTGTATGTTTAGTTTATCACTTTTGTAGCTTTTTTGTATCTTTTTTTAAGTGAAGTTGGAATTTTGCTACAAGAGGATTGTGGTCCGACGCCACGTCTGCACTTGGGTACGTTTTCACCGATTGTATTGCATTTCGGTATGTGTGGTTTGTTAAAATATAGTCAATTTGGTTTCTTCAACGATTTTATCGACCTTGTCAGCTGGCGATTTCCAAGTGTAAAGGCGTCTTTTAGGCAGTTTGAAGAAAGTATTTCATTTGCCACATTATGTTCTAGGCAGAATTCTGTAAGGCGTTCTCCTCTCTCAATTTCGACCAAGTCTATATGGTCCTACAGTAGACTCACATCTTCCTTTTCCAACTTTGGCGTTAAAATCAACCATGACTACTGTTAAATCTTTAGATGTTGTATTTTGTAGGGTTTTTTTAAGGTCATCGTAAATTTTTTCGTACAGTCAAGACGTTGGAAAACAGAAGACTTGAATGATATAAAGTCAGTGGGCAGACGATCTTGAAATTATTCGTAGGCGTAAATGGATCAATATGGCAAGAGCTAGAGAAAAATGGGAGAAATTAGGGAGACATAATCTTGATCTTACAGGTTAAGATCTTTTTACAACCGTATTTATGTTTTTATCAGTGAATTAATATTAAATAATAAATAATGTGTCTTATAAAATTATTTTTTTCTTGTCTATTCAAATTGAAAATACAAAATCAAAATATTTATTTCATCCAAAAAATTATAAGAATGAAAAATGATTATCTATTATAAAAAAAAAAACAATTTAAAAAATGTTACATAGACCCTGTAATTCATTCATTTAAAACCACCAGAGCTATTTGGCCCACAAATTAAAAAGTAACGTTATGCGCGTACAAATCCGGTTTCTGTGGATCGTGCGTCTTTGCCGCTAGAGCGTTAGGCCAGGTGTTTTGACATCATTCGAATAAATTTTGTCAGTCGTAAGAGTTCTGTAATTGAAAAAAAAAATTCTTTTTTTTATTTTAACACTAAATTATAATCTGATCTATTTTCTTCTTCTTCAAGTGCCATCTCTGCGGCGGAGGTCGGCAATTATCATAGCTATTCGGACTTTTGAGAGTACATCCGTACCACTCTCTCAGGTTGCGCAGCCATGGCATTCTACGCCTCCCTATGCTTCTATTTCCTTGGATCTTTCCCTGCATAATCAGTTGGAGCAAGGTGTATTTCTTTGCAGGTGTAATATGTCCGAGATATTCTAATTTTCCTGTTTTTATTGTATTTGGAATTTCCATTCCTTTATTCATCCTTCCCAGAACCTCTTTGTTTGTAACGTGTTCTGTCCACGATATCTTCAGTATTCTTCTGTACACCCACAGCTCGAATGATTCCAGTTTTTTTATTGATGTCGCATTCAAGGTCCAACATTCCATAAAATAAAGTCGAAAAAACATAGCACCTTGCCAACCTAACTCTTAGTTCCAGTTTTAAATCCCTGGTACATAGCACTCTTTTCATTTTGTTGAAATTTGCTCTAGCCTTTTCTATTCTTATTGTGATTTCCTGATTGTAATAATTTGTGGAGGTAATCATTGTTCCCAGATATGCAGATTTGTCCACTTGTGCGTCGTTGGTTCCGTTTATTAGAAGATTCCATACTCTGCTATTCTGGTCACTAGTCTCTGAAGATCTTCAATGTTTTCGGCTAAGATCACAGTGTCGTCCGCATATCTGGTGTTGTTAATGGGAACTCCATTTACCTTTATTTCAATTTCTTCTGACAGCTGTTCGTTAACACGTACTTTTGCTTGCTGTTTATAGTATAAATTTGATATGGTCCTGAGGTCGTTGTAATCAATCTTCTTTGACTTCAGGACATTCATTAATTGTTTATGTCGTACTTTATCAAATGCTTTATTATAGTCAAATGCGTATATATGTTGATTGATATCCAGGCATCTTTGAATCAGTATATTAAGTGAAAAAAAAGCTTCACGCGTTCCTAGACTTTTGAAAAAACCAAATTGTGTATCATTAATTTGGTTTTCGCAAAGGCCTAGGAACGCGTGAAGCTCTTTTTTCACTTAATATACTGATTTATATATACTAGTTAATTGACCAAACTAAATTCAAGGTAAATAAATAGTCCATAAGTAAGCTCTTTTATTTATTTCTACTACGAGCCCTAACAAATATGTAATGGGACAAACTAAAATACATGCAAAATTCAGACATTTGACACTTTATTTTGTTTTTATAATCATTTTTTTAAATGTTTCACTATGTAATTAGTTAATTACTAATAATAAAGGTTCAATTCGAAACACAAAACAAAATATACTTACTCTAACAGAAATAATTATTAATAAAAAATGTTTTGTTTTGTTGGCAACTAAATATTGGGACATAGACCGAATATATATTTTTAAAACGGAGTAGCATTGCCTTTAGACTTTATTGCCGCTTGAATTCGATTGGGCATTTACCCGACTAAGGATCTGCACTGTTCAGGTGTAAATTCATTGCAAATCTGCTTTATTTTGTCTTTGTGTAATGTACGTTGTGGTTTATTCGTTATTGTCTGTTTTATTTTATGCTAGACTGGTTCAATGACATTTAGGTCAAGGGTGTTAGAAGGTTGCTTTTGACTTCGAAGACCTTATTTCCGAATTCGAAGGAAACCCTTGTATAAAAAGGTTGTACATATGTCAAATGATGAGTATAATTTCAGTGTATGTGGACTGTATTACATAAGGCTGGTTCAAATAAATTAGGATATGTAGTAAAATGTATACAGACAATAGCAAATTAAGTTTATACAAAGTCTTACTAATATTTCTGCTCCACACTCTCGCGGTTTTCCCGGCTTTCACTCAAGGTTATTCTTCACATGCGGAATCTGTCCGAGAACTGGTCTCTGAACATGTGTTTCGCGGTACTAACACTGATATCACGAGATAGAACATACTTTGCGTTTGTACACGATTTAAAATAGTATTTGCAGAGTTTTTCGCGTAACTAAAAGCGGGAGATAAAAGAGAAAAAAGAGATAATTAGTTACCGGCAGTTAACAGTAGAAAGTGTCTCTTTAGCGGTAGATAACAGCCAAGAGAGAGATTGTTCTTCTCGATAAGCAAAGGGTAAGAGAGAGAGAGAAAGAGAGTGGAGTGGAGTGGATTTAAGTACCATGTTATTGGTTAAAATTTGTGATACGAAAACCAAAACATGTAGATCTTTTATTATTTCCGGAAATTTCTATAAAATCTGCAGACTACAGATTAGCGATCCGCAAATAAATAATTTTTTTTCTTAATTATCAAAGAGGTAAATGTACAAAACAGGTGGTACGATTAAACAAAATAGGCGATGTTTCTAAACAAATAGCCAAAAATATTTAAAGTTACCAGATCCTAAAATGTACACAGGTCACTGTTTAAGATGAACTTCTGCCACTATTTTGGTAGATGCCGGTGGTGATTTAATGGCTCTTAAACGACATGGCCGATGAAAATCTTCAACAACGGCCGAAGGATATGTCGATGAGTCAATAAATAATAAGACGTCAACAGCCAATAGAATTATAAATTCAATTGAAAGTAATTTACAGACCTTTACATACACTGAAAATACCAATGTTTACAAAGAACACACGTACAGTTTACGTTATCTCACCATTCACCACGTATTATTGAACAACCGACAAACTTGGATAAGGGTATAGTTATAAATAATTGCCAAAATTTTACAATTAATTATTATAAATAAATATTTAATTTAAATTGTTCCCTAATTTTGTTAAATAAATAAAAGTTACTTGTTATATTTTTTATTTTTATAAATGAAATTAATGGTAGAAAAAGTATAGTGCACAACTTGAGTTGTAAACTTCTTACATGCATGTAAAATTACTCTGCTCGCCGCTACGCAGCTCGCGCACTTTTTTACTCGCATGTAATAAGCTTCTTACAACTCTCCTTACGTAATATACTATAAAAATGCAAAGAATAATAATGTTTATCATTACCAAAACGAATAAATATTTTATTCATTTACACAACTTATAGCATATAGGTACCTATCGTATACAATATAATAAAAGGTATAACACAAATAGACTCCATATAAAAAAATTTAAATAAATGAATATATTTTATCATATATGAATATGTAATTTTTACTCGTAAACACTAATTAAATAATAAGCAATATAGTTGATAGTGACAGTGTGATAATTAAGCAGGAATTATAATAAAAGAAAACGAAGTAACAACATTTAAATTTCTATTTATAGAAAACACTCGAACTCCAAGAGATTGAATAAAATTTGACGAAATTTATTCGTGAGCTAATAGACGGGCCTATTACTATGAAAGACTAGACGGGGAGAATCAACAAGTGGTGATGATCTCCACTTAACAATCTGTGACTTAAGTTAAGTTAAATGAACATGAGATCCAGTCGCGGTTCGAGTAGAAAATCGTGTTAGCTTACGGTCTATGTAAAAATATATGTATGTAGCCAAACACAAATTGTGATAAGTGATTATTTCCTGATAAGCTGCTTTTTAAACGTATTGTGTTGTTGCCAAATTCTTTGATTACAAGTTGGATTGTTGCTATATATGTAATATTATAATAGAATATTGTAAGGTAAGTAGTTTATTTTGAATTTGGTTGCATTGTTGATCGGTTACCATGGATACGAATGGGATTTGTGGTATATATAAGTACAGAGATTCATTGAACTTACATTTTCAATAATAGTTATCAAAAAATTTAAATATTTCATTGAAATTAAAGAGTTTACAATTATTGAAAAATGTTTTTATCGTTATAAAAAGTTTATTTTAGACTCCTTTTTGACTTCTGACTATATCATCATTTCTCTATGTCTAATATTTCTGTTAAGTATTTGATTCATAAATGATGAATAATAAATGGCAACAACAACATCAGTCAAGAAATACAAGCACGGATTCTTAGCGGTAATAAGTGCTTTTATGCATACAAAGACTTAATGAAAAGTAAGTTATTGATTCGTGAGTCTACAAAACAGAATTAGACCAGTGGTCACATATGGATGTGAAACGTGAACCCCCTCAACCACTGATGATAATCAACTGAGAATATTTGAGCGCAAAATACTAAGAAAGATATTAAAATGAACCACGAGCTGGATGAACTAATGCAGACCGCAGATATTGTTAGATTTGTAAAGTCACAAAGCCTGAACTGGCTTTGTCACCTAGAAAAAATGTCAGATAATCGAGATGTAAAAGTAGTCCAGGGATGGAAGCCCCAAGGAAACAGAACAAGAGGAAGGCCTCGTAAAAGATGGATAGACGACGTAGAGAGGGATCTTAAAACCATAATGGCGACGGAAAGTATCCGACAGGGCAGAATGGAAGAACGTTGTTAAGTAGGCCAAGACTCACAAAGGGTTGTAGCGCCATTAACAGAAGAGGAAGAAGTATTCCTATGCCATCTATCTCGATTCTGTTGACAAAATCAACAGGCTTCAGAATGTTCCTCTCCTGGATTCCATGATTCTATCCGCAGATGATCCCTGATGGAATTAGCACCGTTTGTTGGGGAATGTGGCTATTTGTGATTTGATTAATCTTGATCAGCATGTCCTAAAATTGCGTCATTTGCTTATAGTGCTCCCATGAAGAATTTTTGTCCATTTGTTCTTCTTTGGGGTATTGCTATCTGAGGTTTCTTGCTCCCTTCTGCGGCTTGTGCTAAGCGTAACTTTTTTGTTGTGGCCTGTGCTCCATTCTGTTTGTTGTGGCCTGAGCGCCTGAGCATAAGTAAGCAATGCAGACCAGACACACTTATAACTTACTGATTTATTTATAAATCATAGTTACCCATTTCGTCATCTCCATCTTAATGAGGATAGCAATTAGCAATGATTATGGGTTGACAAATGATATGCAGAAACAAAAAGAGAGCTTATGAAAATGGACAAATAGAAGAAATGGAACAAAATTTCAAAAAAAAAACGAAATTAGAGGAGCTTACGAATACCTAAAAAAGATAAAAAGTGGATATAAACCTCAAACAAGCCTATGCAAAGATGAAAGTGGGCAAATAATCAGTGACCAACAGAAAGTCACAGAAACCTGGAAGCATTATTTTCAGACCCTACTTGTAACACAAGTAGATATGGAAGATGAAATGGGTACGAACCATGTAGAAGAGAACGAAGTTGAAGTAGAAGCTCCAACCATAGAGGAAGTTCTCGAAGCTATTAAGGCCCAGAAAAACAATAAAGCCCCGGGAGTTGACGAGATTCCAGCAGAACTGTATAAGGTAGGTGGCAACCACCTATCAAGTCATATCCACGCGCTTATCAAAGAAATATGGCAAGAAGAGAAAATACCCGACGAATGGAAGAAAAGTATAGTATGCCCAATCTATAAAAAAGGAGACAAACTCCAATGCAAAAACTACCGTGGAATTTCTCTACTATGTACAGCGTATAAAGTCCTCACGTATATTATAAACCAGCGACTCCAACCACTAGCAGAAAATATTATTGGAGAATATCAGACGGGCTTCAGACGGGGAAGATCGACAATGGATCAAATATTTACAGTCAAGCAGGTCTTGAGCAAATCGTGGGAACACGACATTGATGTTCACAACGTGTTTGTAGACTTCAAACAGGCATACGATTCAGTCAAAAGGGACAGACTATACTATATATTGGCAGAATTAGCAATACCACATAAGCTAATTAGACTCATTAAAGCCACAATGGATGAAACTCAGGCATGTGTACGAATACAAAACAAACGGACAGACTTTTTCAAAATCTCGCAGGGGCTAAAGCAGGGAGATGGGCTGGCACCAACATTGTTTAACCTGGCACTGGAGTATGCGGTCAGGCAAATGCAAACTGGACGAGAAAACCTACTGACCAATAAAACGGTTCAACTGGCTGCCTACGCCGATGATATTAATATTATGAGTAGAACATCAACAGGAGCACAGGAAGCATACGCAGAGTTAAAAACACAAACGAAAAGGCTAGGTCTGGAAATTAACACAGAAAAAAACAAAAATAATGGTACAGACGAGAAGAAATATAAACCCACAAAACATTATACATGAAGATGACATTGAAACGGTTGGAAAGTTTACATACCTGGGAGTAGAAATATATGCCGATGGAGCAGAGGATGGAGAAATACGAAAAAGGATAACACAGGCAAACAAAGCTTATTTTGCCCTCTACCATATATTTCGGTCTAAAAGTGTCCACCGAAATACAAAGATGAGAATATATAAAACTTTAATTCGGCCAATAGCATGTTATGGCAGCGAAGCATGGGTCCTGAAAGAAACATCCAAAAACAAACTCGACACATTCGAAAGAAAAGTACTGAGGAGAATGTGGAGATCTGAGGACCTGTGAGGGAAAACGGAATCTTCAGAATTCGATATAACAACGAGCTCTATCAACTGTATAAGGAAACACCCCTGTCAAACTTCATTAGAATACAAAGATTGCAATGGGCCGGACATGTGATACGAATGGGAGAGGATAGGCTACCAAAACGAGTACTGAACGCCAGAATGCAGGGAAAGAGACCAGTTGGAAAGCCAAGAAAGCGCTGGGAAGACACAGTAAGCAGCGACGCACAAGCACTTTTAGGAGTCCGTGTATGGAGAAGAGCAGCCACAGACAGACAAGGGTGGAGGCAAAAAATAAAGGAGGCCAAGGCTCATTTTGGGCTGTAGTGCCGTAGAAGAAGAAGAAGATGGGTTGACAACCTTCTTCAATAATATTGTCAGCAGTCTACCTTTTTTTATGCCATTTACCTCATCGATCAAATTCTTTTCCGCCACATTTTATAAAGCATTTACCAAAAGTTGTGGATCATTTTTAATTTAAAATATGTATTGCTAGTGCTAGTTTATCTTTTACTTGAGCCAATACTTAATAACCAAATTCTAACTAATTTTCAGTGATAAGCTTCTTCTTTTTAGAGTTCCTGTCCACTCCGAACGTTGGCGATCATTCTTGCTATGATGACTTTGTTGGTTTCTATACGAGAGAGCTGTGTTGAGGTCTTTCTATGCCATACCATTCTCTCAGGTTAGCAAGCTAGGATATTCTTTTTCGTTCTGGGGCCCTTTTTCCTTCAATTGTACCTTGCAAAATGCATTGAAGTAGCTCGTAGCTGCCTTGATTTCTTATTATATGTCCCAAGTACTGCATCTTACGGCACTTCACGATGTTGACCAATCCGCGGCTGTGTTCATCCTCCTCATTACTTCAAAGTGATAAGCTAGCAAATGTAACAGTTATTACTTTTCTGTTTTATTTCCTTAATTACCTACGTGTCTTTTACAATTTAGAATTGTGTTGCTTGGAAATTTTAAACAATTCAGTTTTATGCTAATTTTCCACTAATATCGAATGCTGGTCATGCACCGTACTGATCCTTCCATCTTATATACATATTTTATTATTTGTTTTCCTCGTTTTTGTAGCTCGGCACTTCACGTCAAATTTAATAACAGAACATAATAGAAAATGGTGTAATAAAGTTAATCTGTCCCATAAATCAGTCAATAATGGCAACTTTTTATATATTTTTTTCATCTACATTTATAAATGCTAATACCCAATTTTCATTAAAATTTATTAACACTTCTAAAAGTTTTATAGGTTTTTTATGTAACACTGTGTAATTTACTAAATATAAAATTTTAATGCATCTGGCGTCACCTATAGATCTGATAATTGAAAAACTCCCTAACAATTGGAGGCTGATTATGAAAGAGAACGATTGGACAGGGAGTGTGGACAGTCTATTATAGTTGTTTCGATTTCTAGGTGCAATCGTCGGAATGAATTGGCGAGGAGAGGAATGATGTCTTATGTATGTATGTATGTAATTTCTTCTAGAGAATAGTACAAAGATATTGTGTGGTTACTCTTATTTCTATATGAAAAAAGTGACATAAATGCTGGATGGTCTTAGGTAAGAGAACCACAGGGCAGAAAGATTGGAAGCTCGTGAATGGAAAAATTATGAGAGTCATGAAAGAAAAAGAGACTGAAGAATAGCAGAACACCACAGGAATGTATGAGCAGAGAGGAATAGTTGTAGATTCAGTTTGATACAAACCTATTAGGAAGTGGAGTACATGGTGATGAAGTACTATCAGGTTTTCCAACACGCCCACCTCAACAGGTGGAAATTTTTAGCGAATATTGATCGCTCACTATCACCCGGCACTGATCGAAGATTTTTCTAGTCCGCGATAAAAAAAAGTAAAATGGATATTAGTTAAAAGTAAAATCCGAACGGAGGTATGAGTAAAAATATTTTAGAGAATATACTAGACTTAAGACGAATTGGATTCTCGGTTATTTGATCTTCTTCTTCGGGTTCCTTCTCCTAGCGGAGGTTGGAAATCATCATCGCTATTTTAACTTTGTTGGCCGCATTTCTGAATAATTCTAATGAGCTGCAGCCGAACCACTCTCTCAAATTTCTTAGCCAGGACATTTTGCGTCGTCCTGGGTTTCTCTTCCCTTGTATCTTCCCTTGCATAATCAACCTCAGTAATACGTACTTCTCACCCCTCATTAAATGTCCCAGATATTGAATCTTTCTAATTTTAAC